TCTCATCCCACTTTTTTTTTTTATTGTTTTGAGTGTTCCTCTTTCTCTCTCTCTACTATTGAGCTCCATAATAAAAGAGTTTCACTCTATCGGATTTGTGCTAAATTCAAACTATGCAAAAAAAGATCCAATATCATGGTATATGCATCCCCATCTTTTTTCTCTCTCGCTCCCCCCTCTCACTCTCTCTCTCTCTCTAAGATCATGCCACATGCATGTCTTTTGCATTCTCTGACAAAGATCATGTCCCTCTCTCTAATTATTTTGCATTGCTATTAAAATTAACTATATTTTTTTTGTCGTTGTAGTAAGGGGTGTATTATATTTTGAACTTTGAATCTCTTTTGATTTACTTTTAATGGGTGTGATTTGCATAAGGTTGCAACCTTAAACAATCAAATTTAAGGTGGACCTCTAAATTTGGTTGTGAGATGTAATTTTGGTGTGGGAAGATTTTAGGACGGTGTGAGAATCTATTTTTATTTCTAATTATAAAAATTAAATTTTAAAAGTGGTTTAAATCAAGCAGATCTATAAGTACATGAAAGTTTTGAAAATAGTCAGTCCAGTTTGAAAATAGACGGTCCCCACGAGATGAAAGTCATTTTTACTCTATATCTATTCATCTCGATGTCGAGAGGATCAATTAGATTGTTTTCCAACATCTAAACGGTCTTTTTTGGAAGGTTTTAGATGTGCACCTTAATTCTACATTTTAAGGTGCCAACCTTAAAATGTAGACATTAAGGTTGACATATTATAATGTGCCACAAGATGAATTATTTTTAAGATTTGAAATCTCTTTTTTTTATCCATTTCTGATGATCAATTGGATTGTTTTCCAATTGATGATCAATTATAATTACGGCACACATCAAAAGATTTTAGATGTGTGCCTTAATTCCACATTTTAAAGTGTCAAACCTCCGTGGAGGCTCAGTGGAATCATGGATGAAGTTCTTTGGGCACTTAAGGACTGTGATACTTCTTTTCATTCATATTTGCAGAGATGGCGGATTCTCTGGCTGTTTTGGCGACTGCCCCTTAGGTTTCCCATAGCTTTTTGTTGCTAGTTCTGTTCTTTTTTCCCTTTGTTTTTCGTTTTCGTTTTTTTTCTTCTTTCCTTCGCTTTTCGTTTTCCTTTTCTTTCCTTGTAACTTCATTACCTTAATGAATACCACACTTTTTCACAAAAAAAAAAAGTGTCAACCTCGTATAAATTTTTTTCCTCTTTTATTAGTTTATACTTTATTGCATAGAAAATTAAGACTTTCTATACTTTCCTGCCGTATATATTTTATATACTTCTTCTTTGTAGAGCTTGCAACCAGAGAAATAGAGAAGACGAGAGAGAAAACAATCCACATAACATATACATGGTTCGGCAATAGTGCCTATGTCTATGGAGGGTAAAGCGGTATTTCATTTATAAGAATGACTCTAAACCGTTAACCCTAAAACCCCAAACAAAGATTTATGAAGTTACAATTATTGTCTTTTAGGAAACAAATCTCACCACAATAATAATCCCACAAAATCAAAAATTCAATATAGAAAATTTAATATCTTATAATATACAAGATAAGAAACTCCATATCTGATTCTATAACTATCAAGATTCTCCTATCCAGCTATCCAATTTAAATGGACGGTTGATGTTATTTGTCTCAAAATGTTACAAGTGTGCCACTTACAGTATGATCTAGATCTGACGTCTCATAGTATTTTATTTTTAATTTTTCACAAATCATATAAATATAAAATTTTATACCTATCATCATTTCCATAGACTGCACCTAAAGAAAATATTAAAAAAAAATAGAAAAAAATAAAATGACCAAAGTACCTTT